GAAGAATAAATATAAATATATTCAATAAAAATTTTTTTTCAAAATTTTATAAAAAAATATATATATGTTAATTAACCGGTTAATTAACCAAATCATAAATAACCGTTATTTTACCATCCCTAGCCACAATGCATGTAGGCGTGTGCGACATAATTAACACGTTTTCGATAAATTTTTTCGGGAAAATGTGATTGCTTCTTAATTTGACGCGTAACTGATTAAAACAAATCGACATTCTCCAAAATTTTTTTTTATATCCCAGAACTACAATAACTATGTCTAACGAAATTCATGAATATTTTAGTCGAACATCGTCGGAATGGAACAAAATTGACTTTTTGGAGGAATGTAACGAAGAGCAATTTCAAAGAAAGATAGATAAATATCTTAGAAGTCTCGATACAATTATGGCCCTTGAGCAAGGAAAACAAACGAAAGACAAAAGCAGAGATACAGGAATGTAAAATTCTAATATAGGTGGAAAATAGTGGCGTGACAGGGACCCGCTCGGTTTTTGTCATTCAAGGCCGTTCGCCGAGCCACAAAACCACTACTGGGGCGCAGATGACCCGCTCGGTTGTCTGACGTTAAAGCCTTTCGCTGACCAGATGGGATAGGGAAATTATGTACAGTACTTGCCAGTTAAAAATAATTATTAATCTAATTCTTAAAAATCTTTTATTTAGGATGATCGACCGGATTATAAGGAAGCAAGGAGATGGGAAGATGAACGTAAACAAGTCAAAGCAGGATCTATATTTTGTTTTCACAATCCAACATTCACTGAAAATTCTGTGGTGGGCGACTCTGGGATAATCAATGATGTTAAATTTAGAAGCCAGGAAGGAGACCAAGAGGTATGTATATAAAGTACTTGCATTTTTTAGCCAGAAGTTGAGGATCAGTTGAATTAATTATTTCATGCTTTAACACTTTAGGACAAACAAAATATCCCTAAAACAAGAACAATAAATGACTATTTCTCCGTCACTCCATCCACTCCATTCACTTTATCCACTTCATCTCAGATTCAAGAAAATGACTATACGAATTATGATGACGAAAATCAGCTCCATCAAGTCCTCCACAAGATGTACAAGACAACTATATGAAATATCCCGAAAATTTTGATAAACTCGTAGGTAATGTGGACTTGTCTTATATTGGAGGGGAGGAAGAACCTGCACCGCCTCCTCCAAAGTCTGGAATTTCGGAAGGAAAAACTTGGGACATTTGTATGATTGATGGAATCGACATTGCAAAATATTTTAGTTCCCTTCGCAAATCCTTACCAAAAGCAAGTCCCGAGGTCCAGTAAGGATTTCCTTGTTAATTTGCAGATAAGTTTCGTGATGAATTCACTAATATCATCTTTCTTGAAGTCCACCATCTGGGGGGTTCTTGACTTGACGGGGCAACATAAACCGACGAAGAAAATGTTTTCCACGAAATGGAATGAACTGATTAATGAATTTCGACTTGATATTGGATGGAAAATGGTCAATCTTGATCAATCCGAATACGATTTTTTTGATAATATGGAGGTAATTACAATGTTACATGTTTTAGTCGTCACGTTCGTTCTATTAATTCTTTGTTCTGCGTGTTCTTTTTTACCAAACAGGACTTGAAAGCCCAACAAGCATTACCTATCCTAAGTGCCCGTCTTACGATATTAAAGTCGTACATTGAACACCTCAAACTACCAATCAACGAGGGAGAACTTATGATTTGTTTTGTTGCCTCTGCCTTCAGGATGAGCCTGGATCCAAATAAGAAAAGTTTCAAAAACTCTGGTAACTTTTAAAGGTTCTGCCTTATTTCTGTTTGTGTATCAGGCTAGATTTATTAATCTCATTTATTTAACATCATATTTGGAACTTCAGGTCCGACAACAGCTAGTTGCAAGCCAGGAAAGACGCAGGCAAGAAAAAGATCCTAATGATGAACGTGCACGTTCTGGACAAAAAACCGATATTATAATAGTTTTACCATCGGGACCAGCTTTAGAAGGCTTCATTGTGAAGTCTCAGGAGGACTTTCAGCGGGATGCCCCAAAAAAATTTGGACAGATAAGCTGAAATTAATGGTTGGAATGCGAGACATGATAAACAGAGTAATGAAGACCTTTTCTGGTCTATCAACAACAGATTATGAAAGTCATTGTATTTGGATGCCAAGTAATTGGTAAATATATTTTAAGATGTATATAAATTTCTGATAGAAGGTTGCCAACATTTTTCTATTGCAGGCTTACAAATGAATCTTTATGCGATGGATGTCCGAACTTCAGGAATTTATCGTTTCGGAATGATTGATAAGGTCTCTTTGCCTGCCTCGTCAAAAGAGTTGCCTGCGTACGAAGCAGTGCATACAATGTTACGTTCATTGGAGGTTTGTTATTCACTTATTCACTCACTCCCTTACCAATATATGTATTTCACCGTACTTATCAGATTAAATTTCTTATAGCACCGATTGAACAAGTTAACGGATTACTGCACAGATCCAAAAATTAAACATGCAAAGTTGAGGCGAAGACGTTACTATATATATCAAGAAGACAATTTGGCTTTTTCAAACAACTCTCCGAACACATCTCCCAAAAAAAGAAAATCAGATCCTAATGTTTCGAATTTTTTTTTTTACAAATATATAAAGAAACTGATTTCCCATTTTTATATTATTTGTTATAGCTACAGCAAATTTTTTTACGTTACATATGCACAATCAATAAGCATCGGACTAGTATTTTTTATGTATTATATACTGTATAGGAATATATTGAATATGCATCAGAAAAATAAACATATTAATGTTTTAGGGTATATAACTGATCATATCAATGCTAAGCATTTGTATATAAGGGCTTTATTTTTTTAACTGTTATATATTGATTTCGTATAAATTACTTTATTTGAGCGGATGTCAATGTGTTTAATAAAAGTGATGTGTAACGAATACATAATATAACATGCGAAAGGGCAAAAATTAACCTTACTTAGCCAACTTTAGGGGCGTGTCCCAACCTAATCTAAATTGCAAATTGCTTTAGTAAAATCGAAGACCACAAAAATCCCGATCTCGCAAATGTTTGTCAATAATCTTAGATGTTTTTTGGGTCATCCGTATATTGATGCACAACTCTACATATGTCTTCTCGAGACTCACGACTCTGTTCGTATCTGTACATGGATTGGCCACCGGAAAAATTGGAAAAGAAAACGGTGCACTCTTTTGAGATAATGTATATTTTTCTGCTTCAGCTAGAGCTTTTGTAATATTATCCTGTGTATCATGAAATTTAGCCATCATTTGAAGATTATATTGATTCATCGGAGACAGATCACGAATAAATTGCTCTCTTTGCTATTCAGGAGTCATTTCAGCTACTTTACCAATCTTTTTAATTCTAGTGGAGAATTGCTCAACTGACATATCTTGCATGAAATGACCAAAAACTGCCGTGTGTTTTAAGTGTTCAACTGTTATATAAGTGGTTCTAAACAGGTATAAAAGTTGGCCAAGCTTAATACTAGAAGCAATAATAACAGCAGGAAGACCACCTCCGGTATTAGGTGCAACTGGTGCATTATCTACAGGTTCGCCACCAGCTTTAGACCAATCTCCCATTCGGAATAATATCAGTACTTGTTGCGATTCCTGCTCCAATTCTACCAATTTTGGTGATCGCCTTACCTTGAAATTCTCCAGCAGTATTCAAACACCAATTTGATTACCACCATTTCCAGCACCTATTCCTTGAACAGCATTTAAAGTAAGTACTCCCAAGTTATCAGAGAGATTATTGCATCTCCAATTTTTACCTCTGACGCAGGTTAAATACCAATTTAATGCATCACCTGCAAGTCATAATACTACTAATCCAAATGCCTCTTCTCTTCTGGGAGCCTGACCTGTACCAGATACAATATTTATTTGATTAGCTATTATATATCTTTGCATATCTCTAAGCCAATCTTCTGGGTCCTCTTCAGACAACTATAAAATATTGGAGACCCATATTCTACCATTCCTGATATATTTAGTGGATTATTCTGTAATGCTAAAATTTCTCTCTGTAAATTAAATATTATTTGATATTCTTCATATGTCTTATTTTTCCACTTCTTATATCTATCAAAAAGCTGATTTCGATTATATTCTAGTATTCTCATATCACCTTGATATTCATGCAGTTGAGCTTTCAGTTGTCGATTATCTTTTCTTGTATCAACCTATAAATTTTGTGCTGTTCTAGACTTGCGGATCTGAAATCGAGAAATAAAATAAGATAAGTATTTTCTCAAAGTAATCTAACTTTCTCCTCTTCTAGCCGATCATTAATAGCTCATCATAGGATGGGAAATCTGGCATAGAATCTTCCTTCCTATCTATAATACTCCTTAAATCACCTAAAATCTCATCATCAAATTCTAAATGAGAACTTGACATTTCAGGAAAAGGAGAAGAACTTTCACCATATATAACTTGTGTTAATTCTTACATTCTTTTTCCGCCATATTAGTAAGGCCTATAACCTTTAAAGTTTTCTCATACTCTTTCTCTAATAATCGGCAAACCTCTTGGGGAGATAAGTTTTTTCTGACTCTACTGGAAGCAGTATTAAAGATAGAATACTAGCCAATAAATCATCATCAAATTGCTCACTTAAATTGCGATGATGCTTAATAGTTCGATCAAATTCTTCTTGTAATATTCCAATAGAAACCCTCTCACTAAAAAAGCCTCCAGAAAGTGAATGAGGCTCTCAGCTATTGTTCTTTCTGCTTGTAGAAGATTGTCTTCAAGATTTTTTAGCCAATCCTGAACTCTGCATAAATTTATTTCATTATCAGCAATACACCCTACTCATTTCAAACGGTTTACCTAAATAGTAGTATGATAATTAATTTTTTCGTATTTATTTATTCCATATATATAGTCTTATATTTCTGATGTACCTAATGAATCAGAAGCTATATTGCTCGATAAAGGTTGATTATGATCTGATTGCCTTGAAGATGATAAAGATGATAAAGATGATGAAAAATCTCTTATTAATAGTATTGAAGGGGTCTCTTTAGAATTAGATATATTACTCAATGAGGTTATAATAAGATCACTAATCCCATTTTTTAGCCAAAATATCTCTTCATGAAGCTTAGATAATTCTTCTGATATCTGATCTTCTCAAAAAGTTATAAATAGCAATCTACACTCTACAATCTTTCCAGATTATGGATTTTTATCTCTAATGCCATTATCTGGCTTTTAAGATCAGATATCTCCTGCTCTGAAATCTCTTTTGTATTATACAATCGAGATATTTCTAACTTACTATGATATAAATCACATTTTAAGAATTGTATTCAACTCTCATATACTTCATTTTCAGACATCAGCGTTGTTTTATCTTCTTTTTTATAGATAGTTCTATCTTTTTGAAAGATAAGAAAAGGATGAGTAAAGAAGCAAGGGTTCCTATAATCCAAATAGATCCTGATGAGATCCAGAGAATTAAAAAAATATTATATTTCGTGATATATATTATCACCCAACTGGGTATTGTTCTAATCCTAAATCCTTAAGAAATACATGTAAAAAAGAAAGGCATCATTTCCGCCTAAAAGAATACCATGATTTTTTAGAATAACAACATATATACTAAATACATAAAACTCTTCTGAAGAATATTCTTAGATATAGATATAGCTGAATATCACGCCTAAATTGTTTACACCAATGTAATTTGTTATTTCTTACACATAATCATTATAAGCGTAAAAAATATATAGCAGTACTTAATATAATAGACTGCGTTTCTCGATATAAGGCTACTATTTCACTCACATCGAAGAAGAGTTCAGAAGTTGCTAGAGAATTCAAAAAAAAATGATAATCCTAATAATCCACTTGTATGGCCAGAGCTTCTACAATGTAATGGAGGTCGTAAATTTATAGGAAAGACTTTTCAATTGATGAAAGGTATAATATTACTATTTAAGTGATTGATGCATATTCTTATTGAGGAGTAGATTTTCTAGAACGTTTTAACCAAACACTCACAAAAATACTCTATAAAATTCAAGATGCAGTTGAATCTATATATTCCAATTTAAAATTAATAAAAGTATGGGTTATGCATTTGCATATTGTTATTGATTATCTAAATAATTATCCTACACATCTCATTCGAGAATCAGAGACTAAGAAATGGAGTTTTGCACCTATAAAAGCTATTATGTTAGAAAATGTGGAATCGAGACCATCCATAAAATATAAGCGTTCAGTTAGAAAAATTGAATCAATGTTAAAAAAAGGTGATATTGTTTGATATCTTCTTACTATTGCAGAATGGGAAGGAAGAATAGAGAATCAAAAGAGAGTCACTGATTCAACATACTCACCTTCTATTCATAAAATCTGGAAAATTGTAATAATAAAAAATAAGTCAGTTTTATATTATCTGGATGGAGAATTCGCACTATCTCGCGAGTTTGTATAAGAAGAACTCATGTTAATAGTTGATCCAGAAAAAGTTGGGTATCCACTTCAAAGTATATTATCTGTAAATTTTGTTCATGCTTTTCCTATCAATAATGAGTTAAACTAAGCTATTGATTATGCTCAAAGACATAGTGGTCAATGTCTAGGAAAGACTGGAGAAATAAATGGACATAATGTATATCTTTGGTCTTGTGAGGATGATACATATCAATGGAAGTATCCATTAAAATACATCATGAAGAAATTTGAGTGGTGTTCTCTTTGTTATCATACTACTGAAAGAAATGTACAATATATTTTCAAGGATCTGCTAGACAAAAAATTCCTATCCTATAGACCATCATTTTTGAATGGAATGCAACTCGATGAGTATAACGAAGAACTATAACTAGCATTCAAATTCCATGGTCAGCAATATTATACTCTTAATTTAATGTTCTATAAGAGAGGTAATATAGATTTGGAGGAACAAAAATCATGAGATCAGAAGAAGCGGGATATATGCAAGGAGTAAGGTATATGTCTTATTGAAGTTCCCTATACAGCTGATCTTCTGTTCTATATCAGACATACTCTAATCGAAAAAGGGTTCTTGAAAGAAGCAAAGAATTAAAAGGGATTATTTTTAGTATATCATTAATAGTATTCCATTTGATATAAAAATAAACAAACTTGAGCCGGTTGATAGGCTTGTATATCATATCAATGAGATTAAAGATGCCAAAAAATATAATAAACATTTGAATATTTCTCAATGGAATTTCACTTTAATAATTTGTGGCTATACTAATTTAGGAAAAACTAATGAGGTTATCAATCTCATGCTCAAAAATAAGCTTTATTGAATATTTAATGGAAAGAAAGAAGGGACGCATTATATCAAGTATGATGATTTACTACTCATCGGTCATAATCTTAAGGAGCCAAAATATAGATATCTCAAATCAGCCTATCAGATAATTGCGAATAGTCTAAAACCATATTGTGAAGATATCGCATTTAGGCTATAAAGCCTAATAAAATTTCAAAGCTGAATTCATTCTCTTCAGAAAGAGATACAGTGGCCATATTCGAAGATGCATGCGCTGATCCGAAAAATGTGCAGGAGAAAATCATCATTATTTTATTGAGAACGCCATTACAACATCAGTTCGATATATGTATCCTAGAATTATTTTGATGTTCTAAAAATAATACGAAAAAATCTCACATGTGTCTGCCTATTTAATGGGTTGTATATTATAGATGAGCTAGTCAGAATTGTGTGTCAATATGCTAATGACTGGCATAGTGTGAT